GAAATCTTTTCATGTTTGTTCCTCTGTAGATGAGGGAGGTTTTTGCTTCCCAACTGTATATATGCAGTGTATATATCCATATATATGGATATGCTAGTGGTATATATCCATAGGTGTTGACTTATGTGGGGCCTCTTCACCAGGGAGTTTAGAGGACCTAAAAATCTTATTTACATGTCTTATTTATACATCTTCCCTCACAAAAAGAAGGTGAAGCTGTAGCAAGGGAAGACCCGGCCATGAAACGGCGCCACGGGCCCATCCGTGTGGCCCATCTGGCAGATCCGTGCGGATGGCGGAGCCCGCAGGGCCCCGTGCCCGGTGACACGCAGCGGGAAGCCGAGCGGAATGGCGGCGCTGCTCGCTTAGCAGCACGGATGGCGCTGGAAAAGTGGCGTTTTACAACAGCACTCATCTTCTCCGAGGCCTCTTGTTAATTCCTTCTTCCCCMTGATGTGGCAGGCCTCACTTCTAAGCGCCCTCCATTTTTCTGCCCTCTGCATGTTTTCCCTCAGGAAAAAGGCAGCAGTTTCTCCAACTGATTCCTGGTTTTTGGAATCCCTCCAGGTGCCCTTTGTGCTTTCAGGAGTCTTCCCAACTGCATCAGGATGTAGTTTCAGCTTGATGACCAGAGTGGAGAATTGCAAGAAGTTCAATACAGTGAATTAAGTCTCAGTTCCTAAGATACAGCTGCACTGAGCCATTTTCCCTTGCCCATTTCTTGCAGACATCCCTGTGTAAGTAATATATCTATAAAATAAGTATTTTGATAACCACTTTCCACACTACTGCAGAATGACCCCAATTTCTTTACAAAGCCAGAACCCCCATTTTTGCAGCGAGGGCCTGTGAGCTGCCCCTGACCTGAGCACCACCGAGGCCGTGCCCACCTTCTGGGTCATTTATTTTGTTCTGGCAATCAAATTAAAAGCGTTAKGAGTCTGAATCTATTGCACCTTAAAGCAAGCATCTAAGGTGGATTTGGAGGAGGGAAAAAAACATATATTTTTATATATATTTATGTGTATATATATTTTTATATTTATATATAGAAAAATATAAATACATAAAATACATATATTTTTTCTTTCCTTAGCATAGGCTGCTTTCACAGTGGGTTCAGGCAGACAAAGGCATCGCGGGCTGCCCCACAGAGGCCGGCTGTAAGTGAGGTTATTAGCGGGAGCGATTCCCACGGGCTGGCATGGAGCCAAGGCTCGTTGTGCCGGGCGGCCACCGCGGGCCCCTGTTTGTTGCCCCCGGCCCTGCCACGTCACCAGGGAGCTTTTGATGCCGTGGTGCGTCTGTTTAAAAATGAAATGAAATTTTAATGGTTACAAAGCAGTCCCCCTGCCCCTTTGCATCCCGTTGGATGTGCTGGAAGGAGGGTGAATRTGCAAGTCAGGGAATGCCCAAGAGCAAAGCAAAATGCAGGCTCTCACCTGCTTTACCCAGGGCTGTGTGGGGATGAGAATGAGAAAAAGCACAACAGAGGGTTTAATTAGCCAAATTAATCTTGAATTGCTTTTTAACAGCAGGGAGTGGGGAAAAGTGGCCGGGGAACCATTTGTTTTACTGGGCAGCGGATGACGTGGGCAGTTGGCTCCGTGCTGCAACCAGCGCCTGATCGCCCAGTGCTCTTTCCTAGTGACGTTTCCAAATGAGCCCAAGAATGGGCACCAGAGCTGGATTTATGGAAAGCACAGAGCAGTCTTTGCAGTGGAGATATGGGTTTTGTCCTGGCGGGTGCACGAGAGGAGCCTGATTGAGCCTTGGCCTCACATTGCATCGCCTGGTGCTCTGCTTAATCCAGGCTGAGTCTGCCCCTGTCCTGCTTTTCCCTTGGGAAAGCCCTGTGCCGCAGCGCAGCTCTCATCCTGTTGGAAGCGGAGCCCTGGAGATCAACCACGATGAGCATGAGYGCCCGAGGAGCCGGATCTGTCGCACCGCATCTCCTCGCTCCAGCCAGCTGGGAAACATCAGGGAATCCCGGCGGCTCCCGCGCTCCTTCCCGGACAGGCACATGGGTYGGGAAGCCCTTGTTGGATCCCCCCCACCTCTGCTCACCATCACCTTTTGCATCYGTTGTTTACTCGCAAGCCTAAAACATAAAGCTGAGACCATCTTCCTTATCTAATTTGTGACTGTAGGGGTTAATGTGATGTTTGACAGCTGTAATTTGATTAGGTATTGGCATCTAGAAATGATGGGCGCTTTGTGAGTGTCTCCATCTAAAAATAGGTGCAGGGCACAGTGCTGCTGGTGTGTCTGAAGCAAGAGGACGGGACATGAAAGCTTTCCGAGCAGTGCTGGGGGCGACAGCAGACTTTCCGGTTAAAACAGTATTATTTAATTGGATGAGCTGATTAAATATATAGGTTACATGGGGACCCGGTGCAAATCCTCTCTAGAAACCGCTGCATATATGTGCAAATGCCCTAGCAATGAACGGCGTGYGAGGCAGAGCTCCAACCAACGCTGCTCTTGACACAGTTGCGCTGCCGAAATTGGAGGCAGATGTGTTTTGCTGTTGTTTGGATTAAAAAAAAAAAAAGGCTTTTATCCCCAAGATGAATCAGTTTATAAACTGCAGTGAATTTTCCTTGCCAAGATAACAGATTAAATCGGAGTGAGGGAGACCAGGTTTTTTGTTCAAGTCTGGCCTGTTTATCATTGCTGCTTGGTTTGCATGTGCTGCAGCGAGGGGCTGAGCAGCTGCTGGGGGCACAGACCCCACTGAAAGCTGCTCTTAGACTCTCCTTAATTCTGGCAGGAGCCCTTGCTAGCTCCGTGGGCGAACAGAACGTGTTTAATGCTGAGCTTTACCCGAGCAAAGCGTTTGCCATTCCYTGCTGGTGCCTGTTTATTAACGTACTTAATTGCGAGCTATAAATAGGCATACGGGGAGGCGCAGGCTGAGCCCTGCCTTCCTCAGCCATCTCCTGGGCTGCTCCCCGTGGTCTCTCTATCCACTATTTCCCTCCCCCCYCTTCCTTTCCCATTTCCCACGTTGACAAATAGTTAAAAGGCAATTAGGGCGTTAATTTGCTGCGCTAACGTGCTGGAGCAGGGAGCCCGTGTGGATGCGGCCGCGCCGCCGGGGGACCCCTTGGCCGTGGCAGGACAGGAGGAGGACGGGCAACCAGCCCGTTATCAGCGCTGAAGCCGAGAGCGATGCCATCACGCTCAAGTGTCCCCAGGGGACCCCAGGGGTGAATAAAGATAAAGCCACTCAGCCCTCTCCCCCTCYGCCAGGAAGGGAAGGATATCATTAGCCGAGCAATGAATCTCACTCTGGAGGCCTCTGGTTTGGGGTTTTCCCTGGTTGGCTGCTCYGAAGTAGGTGAGAAGGACACAGCATCTGTATGGATCATGGACACACTGCCGTCTGCCACGTGGATGAAGGGTGCAGGACAGTGCAGGGCTCCGGAGTTGGGTTTATGCTTTTGTTTTGCTTTATGCTTTTGTTTTCTCCTTCTGCTAGCATTTTATTGAAAATGCTTGTGTTTTTACAAAAAAAAAAAAAAAAAAACCCACAAACTAAATGTGGTGTTTTACAAGGCAGATGGTGTTCCTTTTAGTACCTGAAAATGGGCACTAATGAAAATGGGGCAATTTCTCTTGATTTCTGGTCTTGAAGGATTTCTGAAGGACGAACTGTCTGCACTGGTGGGAGGAAACCAGTGCAACGCTGCTTCTCCCTTGGCTGCAGTGAGACCCAGCACAACTGCATAATCCTTCCAAGAAACAGCACCATTTTGTGTGTATATATATATATAGAGAGAGGGAGGGAGATGTATGTATTGATAATTCTGGAGCAGAAGAGCAAGAAAAGCAAGTAATTTTCAAGCTCCTCATCYAGAAAGAGGTGATCACGGGCTCTCCTTTTGCATGCACCAGGGATCCCTTCTCCATCACTGGGACACCTGCTCTGCRGGTCGTATGTCCCTAAGCAGTAACGAAGGGGAACATCCACCTTGTGAATGTGCAGTGAGGATGAGGAGGGCACTTGTGCCCTGTCTGAGCTTCCTTCAGGCCGGTGGGCCCTCCTTTGGTGACCTTTACTGGAGTCATTAGCAGCAGAATCCGGTTGAACTGGATATTAATGTGAATCTGCAACCCCAGGCTATGGGCAGACAGGGTCTTCCAACAGTTTATTTCAACCTGAAATTTTATTTCTGGCTTGAAAGGGGATACAAGTTTTATCTGGTGTTTTTAKTTTCCCTAAGTAGCTTTCTGTTGTTTGTAGCTTGGTTAAAGAGAAGAGAATTGCTTATACACCAGCATGTTACTAGAAATGGCCRTTTTCTGGTCTTTAGCTAATAGCATGTTTATTCCATTCCATTTTCCCGTCTTTCTCAATGCTTATCAGGTAAAAATTGCTCAGGAGTAATCCATATAATTTCTCTTTCTTGAATGATAAAGCATGCCTTAATCAACTGTTTTTTGTTCAGGAAGTCCTCAAAGCAGAGGACTATCTAACAATAAAAATATTCCTTTTTATTTAAGTAGCTGACCTTCCAATGCATTATAGCTCATTAGCCTTTCCCATTGTGAAGAAGAAGAAGAAGAAGGGAAGGAAAAAAAAAAAAAAAAAGGGAAGTCTTTTAAACACCAATTAAGAATCCATTTGCCAGCTCTGTCTCTAGACCTTTTATTGCCACGTGGATCCAGTGAGAAATTCCTGTGTTAGAGTGGGAAAGCATAGAAATCGGCAGTGATGTGGGGGAGAACTAGGATTTCTGAAGACTTCTTTTTGGTTTTTTTTTTGGTTTTTGGTTTTTGTGTGTGTGTGTGTGTTTTGTTTTTGTTTTTTACTTAAAATACTTATCCAGTTACATTTTCCAAAATGTCCATGCTGTCTTCGAAGGCAAGAAGTGAAAATATGGTGCCAAAATAGCCAACTCCRAAGAGGATAAACGACACTTGTCTGCCATCATGGACTATGGCCAATGCACTGTGCTAGGCCCTTTCACTTCTGTTCCTCAGAGAGGAAAAGTAAAAGGGTTTCATATAGAATAAATCACATCAAAGTCGTAAAATCAGGTATGTGACAATATACTTTCTTTTTCTCTGCATTTACTTTTTATTTGATTTTTAGGTGATTTGAAATGTAACACTAAAACCACCAGTGGTCACTCCTGGTGCTCTTTGTTTTCTTGGTTAACTACTTGACATTATTAGATTTGATTTTTCTGGTAGTTCCTCAAGTTTGCCATTGAAGTCAACGCAATCTGGATTTTGAATGCAACAGTTGCCTGGTAATACAAAATTCCCTTTAAAATTAAATGTTTCAAGTTTGCACACACAACTAAGGCTGAGAGGTTCGTCAGCCTCCCAGCATGAAGAGGTAAAATTAAATAGCAATATTCAACTGAATATTTCACCGTGGCAGCAAATGCTTGGGGAATATTAGTAAGGATGAATAAGACTTGTCCCATGGGCATCTGGAGAGCAGGGTTTGGCCCTCATAAAAACTATAAAGAGGCCTGAACTGTAAGTGGTGTTTAAATGATATTGTCAGTAAAATATAAAATATCCTTGATGTATAAAGATGGTATCTTGAGATACTGCCACATATCTGCTCTTTCCTCTTGATACATCTCATTTTTGTACTTCAGGTGTTGCTCTTCTATTGCCATGCTGTTTGTGATGGCTCTTTGATGATGTTTGAAGCTGTCTTGGACCAAGAATCTCCAGTTGTAATAAGGTCAGACTTTGGAGGCGGGAACCCAAAACTGCATTAATTCACCTGCTATTGGGATTTGTCCGTGACCCAAGGTGCTCATGGTATGAGTCTATGGGCTGTCAGACTACAATACCTTTAATATATGTCACATTGTCATTGCATCCTGTATAACGGTGTTGTGTGAGCACACTCCATGGGCAAGGTGCCTCCCTTGAAAACCCTTCCTGAGAAGTGCTTTTGTCCTTATGGAGATTTAAATGCTTTGCCCCCTTTGCCAAGACAGACAGCCTGTTAAAGGCCAGAGAAACTCTCTGCCTCTCTTGGCGCTCTGCAGTGCCATGCAGCTGCTGTGAATTGTAGTATTATCATCTTCAATCTAAAAAAAAAAAAAAACCAAAAAGATAATTTTAGGGAAAAGTAAATAGGGTTTTCTACCAAGCCCAGTTTACCTCCCTGCCCTTTAAAATTTTATAAATAGCAAAACATCATCAACAAACTCCTTCATTGTGCACGAGGCTAATTTCTTCCCCTCCCCTGGGCTCTGGTGTGTTTTTCAGCTTCTGCCATTAATTGTRCTGTATTGTGTGTGTTTTCTGCTTCACTAGTTAGTCAGATAGGCAGCAAATGGAGTCAGCTCTAGGTCAGGGAACACAAAAAGCCAACTCCTGCTGTCTCCCAATCAGGTAGAGCTATTGAATTGGGCTCCACGTAATTGAAAACATTAGCAGGCTGGAAAATAAGCCAATTTTTAAGCACAGAATCCAGAAATGCAGAAGAGAGACAGGGTTGTAAATTTGTGATGAGCCTGAGGCCACTCAAAGCMGTAGAAATTCCCCTGTCTCTCGCAATGGGATCAGATTAACAAATATGGGAGAAAAAAAAAAATGAGGGCACTGTGATTTTAAGGTAGGGATCAAAATATTTAACAAGGAAATCATACTTTGCCATATCCTCTGGAAAAAAAAAATAGCTCTGGTGTTCCTACTTTTTTTGAATGAGGATTTTATAGGGKTTTTTTGCCATAGTTCTCAAAAAGAATGAATATGGACTTTCTCTCCTCTACCAATAGGGTTTATAGGCGTATCTTATTTAAGAGCTTCTCCTCTCCTAACTTYATGTCAAGACCTTGTGAATATTTGACCTTCCTTCCCTCAGCTTGTGTTGTTGGTCTGGATGCCTGTGCTGGGTGGTGTAGGACACTCTGGCCTTGTGACTATGCAGGAAAAGAGGTTCCATATCCTGCAATGCTGTTTTTTGTGCATGATTGCTGGTGGCAACCAGAGACCCCAGCTCTGGCCAGGTGAGTGTCACAGCTAGAGATGCATGGAAAGCTCTTGAGAAGGGTCTGCTCATGGGGAACATCCCAAAAGGTGTAGGCTGAATCCCACCACTGATGCTAAAATATCAGGAAGGGAACAGGAGCAAGGGAAACATGCACACATTTTGAGGAGAGCTATYATTATTTTACTGCTTCTCATTGACTGCTATTTGATTTATATACGATTTAGTGCAAGCTTGCCTATTACCCATTACCATGCGAATCTTGGGATTCCTTTTCTGGTCTCCACTGAGATGCTAGCAACCAACATATATATATATACTATATATATAAAATATAAATACAAGCAATATATGCATTTTAATTAGAATTAATTTGGATGTGCTTTCTTCCAAATCTCCTTAGATCTAAAAGACGTGGAATAACRATTGTGGCCAGGGATGGATGTAGGGCAAGAAACTGTACAATGCACTTGATGGAGTTTCCCTTATCAGGTGAGCAGCATTTGCAGATGTGCTCCTCTGGGACCTGCCAGAAATGATGATGTACCCTGAATGGAAGAGATAACACAAGGAATAATTCCCTCAGATAAGGCAAGGACTAATTCCCCCTTGCTTGCTGCCGCTCTGCCCGGCTATCTACATCATCGCAGCCCCTCAGCCCGTGTATGCCAAGCGTTTGGCAGGCGCCACGACAATAAGTGTGCATCAAATCCACATCAGAACAAAATGTTTGGGGCTCGTTGCTCTAAGCCTGCTCAGCTCGGTGGTTTTGTAAGGCGTGAATGGGAGCAGAGGGGGAAATGTAAATATAGATGGGTGGATGCTGATGAATGGCTGCAACCGCAGCAGCTACCTGCTACCCTATAGAAAAGGATCCTAAAAAAAATCTAGGGGTATATGCCAAATGGAAATATCTCCCTTTACCGAATTTCCACGAGGAAAAATAAAATCTCCTGTAGCTGCTGCATTTGTACGTGCAGCAGCGAGGTGCACAGGCAGGGAACACCCTCCCATTTTGTCGCCTCTGCTTTTTGAAAGGCAATTTATTTTATCCTGGCAATAGATTTCACAACACAGCACTGTGATAACAGGTGTGCCCATTCAGAAATGCTTCTTTACATCCTCCTGTGTTTTTACAAATCGTACAGGGGAAGTGCGGTACGGGTTTCACGGTATCATCTTGGACACGGGGAAATACTGCAGTCGTGCAGCTGGAAGCAAGCCCGAACTTGCAGCGTGCCTGGTGAAGCGTGGGGAGTGTGCAGGGGGTTGTACCTTCAATGGGGATGCACAAAGAGCTGTGAAATGCTCAAAGGTGAAAACAGATTTCAGTGTTGATTTCTCTTCAGCATCACTCTGTGCGCTTCAGAGCCCTCTCACAGCCTTGGATAACACAAGGTTGGGGAGAAGCAGGGAGGTGCAGCTTTGATACAGGTAATTATATTAATGATGTTGATGGTGTCAACAGAAATCTCTTAGCTGCTTGTGATGGAGGGGGATGCTGTGAACATCTGAAAATAGCTTTGTGGAGTAATCCTATTGTCTGCAGAGTCTTATGCGGTGGCRGACCATATTATTCGGCCATGTGGTCCATGACAAGCATAGAAAAGCAGCTGCTAGCAAGTAATAGGGATGTAAAGGTCACATTCATTGAGTTTCAGAGTAAGCTCCACATAGAGATAAATAARGCATTCCGCAAAGCTCAAAGAGTAGACAAACTGTTAGGTTCCRTAAAGATTCCAAAAAGGTGAGAATGGATGTGTACCTTCGCCCAGCTGTGTGCTGTTGGCTGACATCTTTAAGAACATCCTTTTATTCTGAGTCATTGGGACGTAGCAGCAGCTGAGACCTAACAGGTTGTGACCATCTAACACGTGCGATGTTGGTGCTCACGCATCCATGTGGGAGAGGAGCTGCCATCTGAGGGAAGTGAGATATTTCTCCTGAGTGCTCTGTACAGGGAATGTGTCTTCCATGTTTTCAGCTCACGTGCTCTTGGAGTTCTTGATGCTGGCCCTGGGTTGAAGTTGGATGTGGCATCTACCTTGCTCAGTGCTCAAGTCCTACCTTGTGGTTACGGGAACTTGACATATTTATGGGGCTGCTGAGATGTTCGGAGTGGTATCAGGCTGCTCTGCGTGCTCTGGATAAGATGCTGCTAGGAAAAATTGTCACTGCTGCAGAGCTGCACTGGGTTGGGGACAGCTCCATCGTGGTGCTCTGCAGGTCTTACTGAGGCAGATACTCCTTTCTGACAGACCCCCTGGAAGAAAGGATATAAAGAGGATCATCTTCTATCTCATCGATGTGGGAGAGATTTTCCTCATAGAGAAACCATTGGGGATATGACCTGAAAACTGACAGATTTACAAGGCAGGTGCTGCACTAGATCACAGCTCCTCTGGTGAGAGCAGGACCCTCTCTCTTTCCTGACCATGGGATTCTATATATATATATATATACATGGATGCTTCTTCCTAACCTGATCTGTTTTTCAGGCCGTAAGAAGGTGTGTATTGGACTAAAATCTCAGGGTGATGTTGATATCTGGAAACATTAGGTTAAAAATATACTTTTCTGCACTGTTACTAAGATGTAATTTAGAGAGCATCACATTTTGTTTTTGTGTGTGTTCTTATACTAACAAAATGGCTTTGATGTTGACTGAAAATGAAAAGAAACCATCTGAGCAGAATGAGAAACAGTGGAGAGAGAGAGATACAGGTTTTGATCATAAAATAAGACTAATTCTTATTAAGCCCTGAACGAGACGCAGGAGAAGCAAATATTTGTTCTGCTACTGACCTTCTCAGGCAAATAGTGCTCTAGGCCCAGCTGGGCTGAAGAGCTTTGCAGAGAAGTGAGAAATTGTTAAAAACAAGGAAGGGTTTTGGAGAAGCAACTGGTTGCTTGGGGGAAAGATAATGAATTCCCCAAATTCCAGTGCTATGAAAAGCTGTTGTCTGGATGAACATGGTCATATAACACCCTTGGATTTTTGGGGTAGCATCTGTYCAAACAAGCAGATCCTCTCCAGTTGTGCTGGCATGCTTGTGGTGAGAAGGTCTCGGTGCACCCTTGGACTTGGTATCTACTGTACTGGGGCTCCGGGGAACATCTGGGACACCTGCATGTCCACTGCTGTCCTGTTATTTCTAACTTCTACTCAGCTTTGCCTTTTAAAATGCACTAGAATATGTGCTTCTTGTGGGCTAAGATGAGAGGAAATATGAGGAAATGTTCTTTTTCTGAAAAACACCTTTTAATGAATGTTTTCGAGTGCACCAAAGTCCCAACCTGCCCTTGCTGACCTGTGTAGACATGCGATCCAGTGAGGGCTTCTCAGGCATGTTTTCCTCTCTTTTGGACATCTTTACGCTCTTTACATTCAGATATTTCAGAAATCTGAGCTGAAAGGCTGTTTGTGGAGAATGTTGACCCCTGTGCTGTGGCCGGCCTGATGCTGAGACTCCCCCGAGACACCAAAGTGAGAGCAAAAGGACAATGCAAGTGTTGGAAGCCCAAGGGAGCACTTATGGCTACGGGTATTTCCGATAAAACAGGAATAAGAATAAAAGTTGTCCAAGTTCTTAAAAATCACATAGATTGTCCTTGGAGTGATGGGGATGGACCCCAAGGACCCTGCCAAGAAGTTGCTGAATTTGGAGTCATCGGTATGAAAAGTTCTTATCCGCATGAAAGATCCAGCGTCAGAACTGGATCTATGGTGGTGGGATGSTGGGAGGCTGGGTGAGCACAACTGAAATAGAGTTTCTAAAGGTTTTGGACAAAAATCAGCTGAAAATCAACAGATATATCCATAACTTAGAGAATAAGCTCTTTTGCATCACTAACAAAAGATGTTTTTCTCTTATTCAGATGTACTATAAACTTGATAGATTTGAATAGCTTTGTCTAGGTCAATATTTTCTTCTGGAAACGCCAAGACCTGGTTTATACTGGCAGCGTGAGTCTAGAACTGAAATCCAAGTGCTTTTTCAGCAGATGTGTCATTTTCTGCAGGTGAGCAGTCTTGCTGCTGCAGAAGGGATCTACCATGCTGAGGTGAGAAATCATCTTTGAGAAAATTGGTGTAGGACTTGCCATTCCACCACACGGATAAGTTAATCCTGGCACCACTGGTGTCTCCAAGGGTCTTCACTGAGCTCCAGAAATAGCTGCTTGCTTCACCTCCCGCCATTAAAAGCAATTTTGCTGCTCTTTGGCATGTGTGTGCTGGGGGATAGAGCAGCCCATGCAGCTGGTGGTGACTCCTCCACTCTGGTCCTTGCCCTGTCTGGAGGTTTGGGTGGGTTTAAGACGCGAAGGAGAAAGAACAGCCTGGAAAAGAGCTGCAAATGCAAATACTACCTGACCAGGGGTTAACAGAGAGKGCAATACTCATGGATTCACCCTCTCGTTCCCTGAGCAGCCCTCGGTCGAGGCTCTGCACGGGCAGCTGATGAGCTCCGTAACGATGCCATTTGTGGCTAATCTTCCAGGATTAAAACCGAGCTGTATCTGCCGCAGCTTCCACCTTTGCCGCATAGCAACGAGAGCAGAAAGTCAATTAATTACCTCCTCGCCGGCCCCTCGTCCTCGGCTCAGCCGAGTGTGTAATGGAAAAGGAACGAGGCAGCCTGTGCCTGGCCAGCTGGGAATTGCATGCCAAAGTGAAGGATGAGCTGTGGGAAAACACGGGAGGGAGGGCGCTGGAGGGAAATCCTGCTCCTACAGGTTCATTAAAAAAGTAAGACACCACTGATTACACAATTATTGACTTAGCTGCCTGCTTGCAGCCCTTACGGCTGTTGTGCAGGTGCCTTTGTCCCCTCACATTGCACTGGTCGAGCTCTTGGTCATGAGAGATGTTCTCCACCAAGTTTTTACCTGCTTTAGGTCTGTGAAGTTGCTATTTGCTCCTGTGATGTTTTCTTCTCTGCTCTCTGAGCCTCTGGCATTGCCCCAGACAGGTGCCACGAAGCAACTGGTGACCAGCAGCTCCAAGAGTTGTTTTCAAAGGTGGCTTCAGGGTGGCTTCCTATGGAGAAGGCCAGTGGGAAAATAATTTTCATGGTCACATTTATTTCAGAAAGCGTTGCCTGGTGGATATGGAGCCAACTGTCAAAACACAGGAGGTGATCAAAAGAGAAGAGAGACTGTGCAACCACCATCCAGGTGGGCTGTTTGCTGGGCTGGAGGTTTGCAAGTGAAATAGGGTGAATTCAGTGTTTCGGTGTCGTTTTGCAGAGATGGAGCATCTTGTTGCTGCAGGAAGCCTATCTGGCTAAAACCCACCCTTGCCCCACTTGCCTAAGCAGGAGCAGGGAAGCTTTCCCCATCAGTGTATTTGATAAATTATAAGGGATTGCTGCATCTAGGGTAGAAGTGATGTGCCCCATTGCTGTGATAGGATGTGGAGCCAGCGGAGCGGACTTGTGATCCCCAATGATCTGCAATCGAGTGTGAGGGTGACTAAGCCCTTGTGAGAGCAGGAACACGGGTAAAGCTGCTGCGTGTCTGACGTGTTTGGACTGTAGAGGAAACAGGTAAATTCTCTGCTGTCTAAAAGAACTATAGTTAAACTGTTTTTATCTGCATTTGCCTGTGAATGCACCATTGGTGCAGGTCAGGCTGAGCGCCYGGAGCCCTGCAGCAGGAGAGAAGGGAACAGGACTTTTTATTTGAAAATCAAAGCTGAAAAGATGTGGTGTAATAAAAGCTGTACGCTTCCCGTTCTCAACCAGTAGTCCTTTCCTAGGAGAGGCCAGAGCAGGGCTCTCTGGACATTCAATCAGTTGGTGATGAAGTGTCAATATGTTTTGTCAATGAAAATACTCTTCTGTTCCTGGGGACAATTCTGCTTGTTTGGCACAAGAGGTACCCARTGGCTCTTGGTTCATTTTTGAGGTAGTAAAGGCACAATTAAATTTAATTCTAGTTTACTGGGGATGTCATTGTGTAGGTGTTCCAGTCGTGTTTTGAAGATGCTTTTGCTTCATGGATGATGGTGGTTTATCAGGGCTCCCCCTTCCTCGTGGCTGAAAATTACAGAAATTCATACACAGATTGGCTCCCCTATTACAGCTTGGAGGAGGTCTGTTTTATAAATAGGGAGATGAAATCAGGGAGCCTATATTTAGCTCCGGCGTTTTCCCCGGGGCCGAAGGCGAGGATGCTGATGGGAGGCGATGACGCTGCAGCGCCCGCCCGCTCCCTCTCCGCTCTGCTCCATTTTGTGCCCAGCTGGAAGGCAGGGGCAGGGGGGACGTGTCCGTGGTGGGTGCCTCACCCTGCTGCGTGTTATCCCCTACCTTGCACCCCAGCTGTGGTTGCCTCTCTGCCCCTTCTCTCCTACTGTGCTGAATTCGGTCTGGGTGACAATGCAGGGGACAAAGTGGAGCACCTGGGAGCCATGATTCCCTGTGCAGGGCTCTCATTTTATGGAGTCTAAAATTGGGCAGAGGGCTCCAATACCTGGGGCTGCTTCTCCAAGCTGCTGTAGAGGTGGCTGCTGCCAATGGAGACCCCCCTCTTCCCACCCTCACAACCCCCCTGGCACCGTTAACTGGGTCGCAGGAGCTGCTCCCAGGCCGCCGTTTTGCCTAATTGCCTTTTTATAGTTTGCTCTTTATTATGCTGTCAGCGTTGCCCTCGCCTGGGGCTCGGGGCGCAGCGGCCAGCGCCGCAGCCGCCACCATGGAGCAGGCAATGGATCCGTGGATGTGTCTGGCCCTGGGGTCACCTCCCCAGGAACCGTGGCCAGGATGGGACAAGGTCCCAACCTCCTGCTCCTCCCCCAGCTCTTCTGTGGCTACTGGGAGCAGTATTGGGCATGGGGGGCTCTGCTGTGGCAGGAAGCGGGGTGCTGAGCAGAGCATTCGAGGGTTGCATGCTCAGATGCAGCCACCCATGTTCTTGGTGAGTGTTGGACAGGAGGGTGATGCTGGACATGGAGGACCACCCTTAAATTCCCTTTCTCATGTGGACACATTTCCAACYCTGTTGTGTGCTCAGAGCAGCGCTCAGCCCATGGGGACCGACCCCAGGCTGGCTGGGAGCACAACTATGCAGTGAGCTGAGTGAGCTGCTGCTCCTGCCTCCCAAAACATCATCCTTTGAAGCGACTGTGCCCAGCAGCAGCCCTGAGAGGGGCTTTATGGGGCTGGAAAAGATGGAAAAAGTGGCTCTAATCCCTTGGTTTGTTAATTGGAAGTGCCAGCCCCACGCAGCCTGCTCCGCAGAGATAAGGCGGCATCGCGCCGCTCGCTGCACYTGCCGGGCTCTGGGGAGAGTTTGGGCACACGCGGAGCCTTCGGAGGGGAAACGAGATCCTTATCCCAG